TGATTGGTTAATTATCACAGGCAATCATGGGTAGATCGGCAAAAATTAACCAATCATATGAATGTCTTCCTATGAGCCCTAGAGTCGTTCATAAAAAAAATATACAGACATCACATTGTATATAGTATTTTGTAAATGTTACGTAATTCTTAATTTTCGAATCAATTGCAATTTAAAAACTAGACAATCTCCCAATTTATCATTATTTTAAATATTAACTTTACAGGTGATGATTTTTTTTTATGAAATTATAGTCCAAATTTTAAAAAAATACTAATATACGGATCAGCAAATACTGATTTGTGAAACTACTCTTAGGAATTCAGTGAATGACTATCAGTTCCCAAAATTGTACTAGGCTAGATCTGTCATCCCCGTGTGTTACTATACTAATAAAGAAAATGATAGAGGCTAAAGCTGGAAATAAGGGATCTCGATTTTAAAATATAAACACTACCAAAACTGGTAATTGATTTCCATCTTCAGTAAGTAAATATGGCGCAGAAATGTTACAAAGGTAACACAGAGGCAATTCAAGACTTAATAATATAATAACATTCATCTTAATAAAATCAGATTTATTATTAATAATGTTAATACCGTAGTTCTAAGCCTAATGAACAAAAGGTGGCACAGAAATGTGAATACGTAATTCATACGATACATTATATGAATCGATATTACAGGTAGAGTCAAATAAATCCAAGTAAATAGTACCTAAGTTTTTTTTTTTTATTTAAATCTATGACTAAACAAAGAAATTAACAATAATTCTTTTATAATATCTTGCCTTTGTTTTGATAATGCAGTTAGAAGGTTTCAAGAATGCTGTTTATGCGGTATGTAGATCATATATCGAATTAACTCCGCCTTTATCGAACTCTTAAAATGGCTATCAAGAACGCCAAATCAGAAATTTTGCAAAAAATAAGAATAAAAATTTCAGAGATTCATGAATGTTAAGAAAATATTATTTTTAACAACCAAAATGCGTTCATATGACACTCTTTTTCTTTTGATTTTAATACTATTTATCAAATGCATTGAATGCTACACTCCTGCTGGACGACGAGAGTTGGCATCGGCATTAATATCAAATAAACTATATTTTTACGGCGGATGGAATAAACCGAATTCAAGCGGATTCGGACTAATCGACATTTTTTATATCGATCTGAGTCAACCGTTTGATACTTCTAATCCAACATTCCAATTACAGGGAAATCTAGTGCCAAAGGCCGCCTATAGTGCGGTTGTTCATGAAAATGAAATTATCATTTTTGGTGGAGGTGCAACTGTAAATTTTCCAGGAATAATTAATGATCTCGTCATAGTGAATGAAACTAATTCTTTTGTTAGTAACATTACGCTTACAAGCACGAACAACTCAAATTCAAATTCATGGCCATCCCCAAGAAGATGGCATACAGCTGTGATTGACTCCATCAAAGCAAATATGTATATTTGGGGAGGTGAGGATAACAATGTATGTATTTATTTATATAAAAAAAGGTTTAAATCTTATTCTTTATTGTTTTATAAATATCGTTCCTGAATTTATTTTTAAATAATTTATGAGAATATAAGCCAGATAAAAATTTTTTATTTTTATGAGAGCATTTTTCGAATTGACGATATTTATTGCTTAATACAGTCAACTTTGAGAACCTACCCTATAACCAAATGTTTTATAAAAAATTTATTATAAAATTCTATCATATAAGAAATTTTTGAAAATTTTTTATTTAGTTCGTTATAGAGCTGACTGTGAATAGGTTTATTAACATTAAAGTCAATTCATATTTCTGACAATGATTTTAATGGTTTTAGTGTAAACTTTACTAATAACAATAATATATATATTTATATATTTATAAATTTCAGGGCAATACTCTTGGCGATGCAATGTATAAACTTGATGTTTTAACATATTCTTGGGAAGTCTCTACTTTAGCGACTCAACCAAACGGTCGTAAACAACATACAGCGACACTGATACCTGATGGAAAAATTATTTTTATAGGTGGAATAAATAATCCTGATATAACACAGGTAAAAATTATTAGATTATGGATTGCAATTAATACCTAATTAATATGTTAATAGTAAAATTTTTTAAAGCTCGATATTTATGACACAATTGCAGATCAATGGTCGCAAAAGGTACGTACGTACGTACAGTACATTCTTACAGGTAAGACCGTTGATGTTATTACGACTGATTTTTCACACGGTGTGCAACGTATAAAAAAACAATTTTACAATACCGGATCATTCGGGTAGTACATGTTATGATTATAATTCAACACCATTTTTATTAGTAAAAAATGGTGTTGGATTATAATCATAACATGTACTACCCGAATGATCCGGTATTGTA